AGGCCACGGGTTGTTATATGTGGCTAGGCCATAAGTGATATTCGCAGTTACGACCGCTTGATTCTCTAATGTCGACTAACATTGTTGAGACTACCATGGCTGTGAGGATTCGCTGGAGCAGAGCTCCTGGATGTTATTACATGGAAATGGGTCCACAAGTGATTATGATACTTACCTACTCGAGACATTTGTGAGTTTTCGATGCATACTCTTTTGCATGGTGGAGAATTAATATTTCCTTGCAACTCCCTTTGTTTGAATAAAAGCTTCTAATGCTTACTTGATGATCATGAAATGGTTTATATGGCTGTATACTTTGATTTCTTTACACGCCACACACTTTGGGAGCGTGCATACTTTCATACCGTTATTTATAGCTGATGGAAAGTGGTGTTTTCAATGAAGGAACTTTGTTTGCTACACTTGTTTTTGGCACTGTATTGCCAAGTGAAATGTTGCATTATGCTTTTACGAAATATTTTACAAGGCACAAATATCTTACTTATGATTTGTTTCTTAAGACTATGATTTGATATTCCGGTTTTATTGTTCAACTTATCTACCTCATGCTTATTTTCCATTTATGCCCTGCTCACAGAGCCGATGATCATTGAGTCTGTGAGACTAACCCCCTTTATTTCCCTTTTACAGATAGTGATCAGCCTAGCGTGCATTCAAAGACAATTTTAGTCCACCACAGATAAGTAAAGGCATTTTATAGCACTTTATTTCGAGTCCCTCCGCTGCTAGAGGTCGAGTCTTCATTCAGTAATTTGTTATAGGATTAGACAATAGTGTCAATTCAAATGTACATTCGAAAATTATAAGTCTTGTTGTATCATTTTTACAATTATTTCGAATAAAGGTTTATTCAATTTATAAAGATTATTGTTCAATTCTTATTACAAAGAGTTTTATGGTACAAGAAAATTTTCTTAGATTGATGGTATAAATGTGAGGTAAGGACTAATGTTTTAAGTAAGGCTTGTTCGGCACTTGACGGGTTCTCCCATGAGACTCGAACGTCGGTAGCGATCGAGGAGCGGTCATTACAAACTTAAGTGGGGGAGTTGTAATGTAATTTTAATGATTTGATAAATAAAATATTATTTTATTGATTCTAGAATATTATTTTAGTGAGTGAAATTTTAGTGATAAAAGTATTAATAATAAATGTGAGTTTGGAAGAAATAAAGAATTAATTTAGATAATAATGCAATGTGCATGTGGGTTCACTATTACATGCAATTATAGCATGCAAAAAAGAGAAAGCTAGTGGAGAACATGTGGGACCCCCACCATGTGAATTAAAAGGAAGAATAAGACTAAATCTATTTGAATGTAATGAGATTGGTGCATTTTATGGCCAGATGAGGAAAGAAAAATGTGGAATGCATGTGACTTGAATAGATTAATGAATGACCAGATAAAATATAAGGTAAAGGCGGTGCATGAAATAAATAATACAGGAAGAAAAGATGGGATAGTGAAAGTGGTAGATGGAGAAGTTAAGTGAAAATAGATAATGGGCCAATGAACAAGGGAGGAAATTGGTGCATGAAATTTGAGTGGGGGATGAATTGGTCCATTGAAAAGTGAGGAATAAATATGAAAATGAAAGGTGAGGAAATGTAGGGAGAAAAACCGCACCTTTGAGAAAAAAGGAAAAGAATTGATTTTAAAAGTAAAAAGAGAAAGGAAGAAAGGAGAAAGAAGAGAAGCTAAAGGAAGGTTTGGTTTTTAGAGGAATTGGAGAAAAACCAAGAGGTTTTCCTCCCACACACCATTGTTGGAGCTTAAAGAAGACATTGGTGGTTCAGCTCAGTGATTCCAAGGTAAGGAAGGTAAAAAATGTCATTTTGTTTAAATGCATGCTTTGTATCAATTGTAATGTGAGATTCTGCTTGTGGTAGCAAGGATCTTCAAGATTCAAAGAACCGGGTGCATGCATGTGGGTTGATCTTAAAAGTATGGTGATTTAAAGCAAGACAAATAATGGGTAAGTGTTTTTAATCTTGAGATCAGTTGTGGAAAGGAAAAAATAAGATTTGTGTTGATTATTTATGCTTGTGGTAGCAATGTTAACCTAGAGTGTGAGAAGATTGTGAGCTATATGTGGAATTCAATATAAAATTGAAAGGTAAGAATGTAATATGAGCACATTATGTTATATTGGACTTGGTTGTTGAAAGTTTATAGATTTTATGTTTAATTGTCGTGAATAATAAGGATGCAAAATGTGAAGCTAGATTAAAGACTCAGTGATTGAGGTGCTGCCTATATAAGTGTACAATTAAGTATATTGAGTTTAATTTGTTATTAGGAAGTGTGCAAGTGAAGAAGGTTTATCGTGGTGGTGTACCGGAGGAGATAACAGGTGACAGGCAAGTAGAATTAGCTCGAGATGCACCTGAATCGATAGCGACATAGCTTCCCGCTATTGTGAGGTGATTAGAGGGTGTCTATTTTAAAAGTTCCATAAACTATATAATGATATATGCATAATAAACATTGTTGGTTTTCTTTAAATGCAATTATGGAAAGCATGAGTTGGTAGAATGCTAGGCATTTGTGAATGTTACGTTTTAGAAACATTTTGGTAGATATATAAACTATACATTTGTAAAGGGTTTTAGAAACCAGGAAATAAGCTTTTTATCACAATTTATATCAAAATGTGCTTGACTTGTTTTTTGTGATGTGCATTCATGAATAAGTTTTATGCTCACCATGCTTTGATTTAATGTTTAAACCTCATGCAAAAGTTTTATAACATGACATCTTACAAATGGATTTGTTATGTCACCATGATTGGTTTAAACATTAAATCAAAGCATGGTGAGCATGATTACTTGATTAAATCAAACATTAAATCACATGGAAGTGGGTCCACGAGTTGATTACTATGATTACCTACTTGAGAATGACATCTTTTTGAGGTTTTCACACATGATTTCTGTCACATGGTGAGAAATACAAGTTTTTTAGCAGCTTGTTTATTTATACTGTGATTTTGTGTTTAATGTGTCACTGATGAGATGGTTTACAAGCTTTTGTATAAGCTTTGATAATACTTGATTTCATGGGAGTGTGCGTGCTTATGATAGTTCAATTTTAAGTAAAGTACATTAAATGATTTCGACGGTAGAAATCTTGCACTTGCACTAGTTTTAAAATATTACTTAAAATGATTATTTTGCATCACAATTCTTGAGTTTATATGTAAGGCACTAATGTTCCAGTTGAGTTTAAATTGTTTATATACATACATATATATATTCTTATGTTTTAACATTCAAACTTTCTATCCTTGTTTTCCATCTATGCCCTGCTCACGGAGCTGATGATCACTGAGTCTGTGAAACTCACTCCCTTTATCTTCCTTTTTGTAGAAAAGTGATCAGCTCAAGTGTCTTGCCCAGCATACTTTGACTTGCTACGATGTAGGTAATGGCATCTCTTAGATTTCTACTCTGAGTCGCTCCACCGCATTGGGGTTGTGTTGTGTAAAATAGTTTGACTTTTAAAAATTATTAATTTTATCAGATTGTATCGCTAAAAACCTTAAGGTTGTGTAATGAATACTAAGGGTGATGTTGAAATTATTTTGAAGTTTACTAGAGTTGGATGTCGTTATCTAGCTGCCACATCTTAATTATGGTTTTATTCGGTTCAAGTGGAACATTATAATAAAATTCAAGTCGATTTATATATACATTAAAATGTTTGATTTGGTTAACGGAATTTCAACTAAGGCTTGTTTAGAATTTGGCGTGTTCACTCGTAAGTCTCGGATGCTGGTAACAATTGGGAAGAGGGTCGTTATAAATCAAGGCTTTAGCAATTTTCAAGAATGGCCTCTTAAGGATGATTGGAATTTGCCTATCTTTTCCCATGTCAAGTATAATAAAATCAACCGAAAAAATAAATTTATCTAGCTTAACAAGAACATCTTTAATAATTCCCCTTGAATAGACATAAGAGCGATCAACCAGTTGCAAAGTAACAGAAGTGGGTTTGTATTCCCCCAAACCAAGTTTCTCAAAAATTGACCAAGGCATTAAATTTATTCTTGCACCTAAATCACTCAAAGTTTTTCCAAAAAATAAATTACCAATAGTGCAAAGGATTGTGAAACTACTTGGATATTTGAGTTTTGGTGGCAATTTATTTTCGAGAATCACAATACATTCCTTTGTAAGGGATATAATTTCAAAGTCACCTAGTTTTCTCTTTTTGGAGAGGATATCCTTCAAGAACTTGACATAGCTTGGCATTTGCTCCAAAGCTTTAGCAAAAGGAATATTTATATGTAATTTCTTAAAGACATTGATGAACTTTGAAATTGATTTTCAAGCTTTTGCTTTTAGAGCCTTTAGGGAAAAGGTGGTAGAGGATGGATGACTTGAGAAGTCCCTTGATTTTCAGCCTTTTCATCTACTTTCTATTCAACTTCAATAGCTTTCTCATACATTCCTTCCTTCTTATCAACATGTTCATTCTTAGATTCAATTGCTTTTTCATTCACCCCTTTAATTTCTATCCACTCCTCAAAGTGATTGCTTGGCATTGTTCCTTACATTTAGGATTGATTTGTGTGTCACTAGGTACGGAAACTTGTGGTTTATTATTGATGGAATTTGTAAGTTGTCCCATTTGGTTCTTAAGATTTCTCAAGGAGGCTCCTTAGCTTTGAATTATAGCATCATCCTTTGATATATATAGCAAGAGAAGTTTTTCCACTTAGGACTTTTTTTTCAAGAATTGGTGGTTTAGCTTGCTGTTGAAAACCAAGAGGCATGATGGGTTTTGGATTTAAAGGCCATACATTGTTGTTCCATGAAAAGTTTGGTATTAGAGTATGGATTATTTTGCTGCCTATTAAAGCTCCCCACAAATTCGATTGATTCAGAATTGTATGAACATTGATCACTTGAATGGCCATCTCCACGCATCTCACAGACTCTAAATGAATTGTGAACCACATGAACTTTGAGTGTGCCAAACTTCTTGGATAGTGAGCTACTTGTGCAACTACTTGAGTAGTTAAGGTGCTAAGTGCATCCATTTCATAGGATTATAGCTTTCTCTGACCAGACCATTCTCAAGGCCATTGATAATTATTTAAAGCCATCTTTTCCAACAGATTATAGGCATCTGCAGTAGTGTTACCCATTAATGCCCCACCACCACCACTAGCATGAATTGTGGTTTTTATTAAACCAACCAGCCCATTGTAGAATGTCTGAACTTGCAACCAATTAGGAATCCCATGATGTAGGCATCTTTTTAGTAGTTCTTTAAATCTCTCCCAAGCTTCATGCAAGGATTCACCTTCAAATTGTGTGAATGAGGTGTATTGTTCCTCATTTTTACAATCTCGGCAGGTGAAAAGAATTTTGCTAGAAACTTTTGAGCCAAGTCCTCCCACGAAGTAATAGACCATTAAGCAATGAATTAAGGTAGTTTTTTGCTTTATCCTTTGAGGAAAATGGAAACAGTCTCAATCTAATAGCATCATCAGCTACTCCATTGTATTTGAAGGTATCGCAAATTTTTAGAAAATTCACCAAATGAGAATTAAGATCATCACTGGGTAACCCACCAAACAGGACTGAAGACTGAATCATTTGAATGTAAGCTGGCTTAATTTCAAAATTATTTGTATTGATCAAAGGTCTTCTAATGCTTTGGTGCAAACCTCGCAAAAGAGGAATAGCATAATCCCGTAGTGCTCTATTTTCTTTAGGAACCAGATTAATGGCATTATTGCCATTATTGTTGTTATCCTTAGCCATTGTCTAATTTAAAGTTGCAACTTGCAAATGCTCCCTTTGATGTCCTCTGAAAATTCTCTCTATCTTAAGATCAAAAGGAACAAGATTCAAGTTGTTATTTCTTTGCGCACAATGACCAAACATATCTGCAAGCAAATCAAAATTAATATTAAAACAAGAAAAATAAAAT